TTCCATGATTTTTATCTAATCTATAATTCATGTTCAAATATTATCCACTGTCCGCATAATGCCCACCAGAGCATTGTTTTCCTTCCCTCCAGAATCCAGTTGAGAGCCACAGTTTGCATCTAGTTGTCATTTAATCTCCTCTCAAATGGTTTCCCAACCTCTCTTTGTCTTTTATGACATTGATAATTTACAAATATGTAGGACACTTATTTTATAGAAAGTTCCTAAGTTTGGGTTTGTCTGGTGTTTCCTCGTGATTACATCTAGGTAGATTTTGAGGGCTTTTCCGCGAAAAGTCAGAAATCACAGATTCTTCCAGTTTTTGCGTTTCGTTCAGAATGAAATGTGCACTCTTTACCAAGCCCTGCAAGTCCCCGCGAGGCCTGTCTTTGTAGCCTCCTCCCGACCGGGTTCTGGCTGGCTCAGCCTCTGGGTCTTTGCACCTGCTGTTCCTCTTCCTGGCATGCCCTTCCTTCAGGGTCTTTGCCTGTCTCGCTCCCTTCCTCATTCAGGTACATTTTCACCACACACTGCATGATCAGCTCAGATTCCCATCCCCAGCATTCTTTCAATGTTCAGAGCCCTCCCTTCCTGCCAGACTTCTGACATCCTGCCTCTTCCTGTCCCTCCCCTCAGAGTGGACGTGTGCATAACACAGACTAATACTTTGCTCTTTGGAACTAGCCTGGTGTCCCTTCAGTGCCATGTCATGGATGGAGTTTGTATGTAAAGCACTATTAATTTACAAGACAGTGACATCTAGTGGAGCAGCTGGGACCAGCTTTGAGTAAAGGCTCTTGATACCCCTAACGATCCAAAGACAAAATAAAAAAACAAGAAACAACAAAAAGCACCACCTTGATTTCTCGGTAGAGTCTGAGGTGAGATCTGGAGAATCTAGTGAGGTTCCTGTGGAGATGGGACGTGGCCATTGATGGGTTAAAGATATCTGAAGATTCAGGTTTCTGTTATGTGTGTATGAGGGTGAGGGGAATAGAGGGCAGGCCTAATAGGAGAAAAATAAGACACACTGGTGTGTGAGACTGTTAAGGCTAGTATAAATTCATTTTTCAAGAGATCAATTTCTCATTCAAAAGGTTATGAACATGAAATTAGTGTGTGCCCTCTCCAAGTGATAGTGATGATTCAAAATTGAAAAATTCATTCATTAAGTGTACTCAGCTGGGGTAAAGTTAGTAAATTTTCCTGTTTATTTATTCTTTACAATATAAACACAGGCTGGGCATAGTGCCTCATGCCCATAGTCCCAGCTATTCAAGAGGCTGAGATGGGAGGATCGCTTGAGCCCAGGAAGTTGAGGCTGCAGTGAGCCACGATCACACCACTATGCTCTAGCCTGGGTGACAGAGTGAGAGCCTTTCTTTACATAAAAAAATGAAATATAAATATAAATACAGTTGACCCTTGAACAAGGTGGGGTGTTAGGGAATGCCACCCCCATGCAGTCAAAAAATTCAGGTAATAATTTTGGTTTACCAAAAACTTTCTAGTAACTAGCCAACTTTTGACTGGAAGCCTTACTGATAATATAATGGCCAATTAACACGTATTTTAAATGTGTACTTATATACTAGATTATTACGATAAAGTAAGCTAGAGAAAAAGTTAAGAAAATGAGGAGCAAGAAAGGAGGCATAGTCTCAGGGGTGGTAAGGTGGAGATAAAATCTGTGGGTAAGTGGACTCTTGCAGTTCAAACCTGTTATATTCAACGGTAAACCAAATGCTTGAAAAAGTCGAACCAATTACC